TCTTCTGGGAGCTCAGTTGCACTTTTTCTTTCAGTTTTTGCTCATGTGACTGAAAGATAATAACTGGTCCAAAGTTACCCAGTGAGCTTGTACAGCTGAGAGTGGACCTGGATCTTTCAGTCTTAACCTCTAGCCTCTTCACAAAAGAAACATTAAATAAGCTTTTAGCTGATTTCATGGATCAGTTGGTTTGCCAACTTCAGTGATGAAGCTAAAAAGAACTTTCCTAGTCGGATGTCACAGAATACAGCTACATTTAGGAAGGCAAAAATATCTCAGCTCCTCTCAGTCCCTGTCTTCTTTGACTGCTAGGTATTTTGAGGCTGAATGAGGGGACACTAGGCCAGGTGTCCAGTCAGCGCCTGTGGCTCTTGCCCAAACAGATGTATTTGAATGTGGAAGAAAATGAGAGCTGTGCTCTGGAGAAGAAGAGGAATACCATTTGCTGTCTCCTTGTCCAGATCTTGAAGGAGGAGAAAGAGATGCATATTGACAACCTGGTATTCAAGGTATGGAATGCAGGGACCTAAGCCCCTTGCTGAACTCAGCTGGCAGCCAAAAGGAAGACCAGTTCCATTCATTCTTTCTACCTTGTTCAGGTGATTGATGCCTGCCAGAAACGGGAGTCTGGCTGTACCCAGAAGTTTTTGAACTTTTGCTGTAGTAGCACAGATGTCCTCTCTTGCATCCTGCATCTGCTGAGCCAGGGTTACATCCAACGCCAGGAGGACAGCCCACATATCCTGGAGTACATCTCGGCAGAGCCCACCACACCTCACCGGGGCCAAGCTCAGCTCATTTTTCAAAACATTAATTGCCAAAAACAAAAGTCGTCTTCTGATAGAACCAACAGGTAATGTTTTATTTTAATGTGCTGTGCATATACAGTAGTAGAGTGAAAGCAATCCTTTGTTGTTGTTGTTGATAAGGCTTTTTCTTGTCAGATTGGATACCTTTGGCCTTGGCACAGAACAGGTTCTGATGGAGACAGTGCTCTTGCCTATGGGACGCACAATGAATCAAGAAGAAGTTGAGCTGCTGATGACCCAAACAGTGGAGAAGGTGTCAGATACTCTAAGCATGACTGCAGATATAGCTCAACATCTGCTCATACACTGTAAGTGGAATGTGGATGTTCTGATTCAGCGCTACACAGAAGACCAAGACGTGCTGCTATTTTCCTCAGGGCTGCAAGTGCGAAATCCTCAGCCGCCTTCAAGCCCTGTCACCCACTGTCCAGTGTGTGTGAATCCGCTGAGTGAAGCAGACAGTCTGCCCGTTCTCTGTTGCATGCACTACTGTTGTAAGGTAAGAGTTTCCTTTACTACTCTGATAACAGGTATTTGGGCAGGGAAAAAAAAACAAATTTGCCTTTACTATGTCACATTAGTAGTGTGTTAGAGAAGATGAAGATATGTTTCCTTGATTTTTTTAAAAAACATATCTTGTATTTCATTCATCCCTAGATTGCTCTGGACTTGGTGTTTATATCCATGAAAGAATTGTCAATTTTGGAATAGGTTTCCATCCCTGTCCCCAAATTATTAATAGCATTGTCTCTTGCAAATTATTTCATCCATGATAAACTGCAGTTGAAATATTCCATATTTCTTTCTCATCCTTCATTTTTATTTTTATGTTTTTCTTAACTAGTCCTGCTGGAATGAATACTTGACTACTCGGATTGAACAAAACCTGATTCTGAATTGCACATGTCCCATTTCTGATTGCCCTGTGCAGCCCACTACTGACTTTATCCGCTCTATAATTTCCTCCAAAGAGGTCATTGCCAAGGTAAGCGGGGTAGTTGTAAAATGCAGGCTTAGCAGATTGAAAAACTGACTAGTCACCTCCAGAAAGGAATTTTGTTCTTATGAGCAGATACCTGTTTTATCTTGAAGCCTGAGGGTTGTCACAGAAGGTTAAGCTGTTAATCCATTAATCTAAGTATGCTAAATCTCACATTAATAGAGGCTCTCTTGCTGTATATGACTATATATTTTTTTTTAATCTCCATTTTCCTAAAATAACTGGAGCAGTTTGCTCTGCAGATGTCTCCTCTCCTTGTGCGATGAGTATTGAAGTAATTTAAAGAGTGCTCGGTCAAATTTTTCTGGAGAGTCAGACATACGAAACAAAGTAGAAAATAAAAATGTTTTGTTTTTTATCCGTATATATACTGTTGTACTTTTCTTTCTTTCTCTTTTGTATGTTATAGTAAAACTAAAATAAAAAAGAAATCTAAATATAATCCCTAAAAATGTATTACTGGAGGAAGATGTGTGCTCATGTGTGTGTGTGAAAAACAGTTCTTCTGTATACATTTTTTTGTGCAAAGAATAAGTATTTCATTCTGTATACCAGTGTTGTCCCCAAATCAGAGGCCACTAATAAATTATTAGTTATTACCTCTAAAACACTCACCCCCACACCACCAGAACGTGTGGGTTTGTGGGGGT